TAGCAGGAGTTGGACACAAAAACACAAACTATTGCTGGGACATCAAGGCAGTCTCCCAACGCCCCCTTCCCCCTTTTTTTTTGGCACCAAGGTTGCTTGGCTGGCCCAATCCAGCTCCAAAACTCAAGGGATTAGCACTATCAGGAACTGCAGAAAACCAGATGATTCCACAGCAATTCCAGAGCCTGAGTTTGGAGCAAGTCATTGTTGCAAACAAATGGAATCACTTACAGGCACAGAGCTGTGATTAACTGCAAAAACCCCTTAAAAGGTAGTTTTACATTTTAAATCCAATGCGTGCAGAGTCAAAATATCAGAATTCGGGGCTGTTTCGCTCAACCACACTGGGGTGAGTGGCTGAAAAGTCTCTTTACAGGGTGTATTAAAAGCACCCAAGCAGTGCAAGGATCAGTCACAGTGTGTGGGGAACAACCTGGTGACCTGAACAGGAGAGGAACACAAAAGAAAAATCAACATTTATGTGTATCAACACTACAGAAAAATCCCAAAGTGCACAGGGTTCAGCAGTGAAATAAATGACAGCGATTTCAGCTCATTGATCTAAAAATCTGAAGACTATTCTGTAAAATAACCCTGCAACCATTGAGAGAAATGCTCGTTTTTTTGTTCAAATCATCACCAAAAGCATCACACTTCCCCTTCCAGCCCCCCAAATTACAGCTGCTGACCCCGTCACAGCTCCTTCTGCAATCCTTCACACCCAGAAGGGCTGGACCAGTCAGGAGAGTTCACCAGGATTAAATATGCTGAGCATCCCTCGGGAAGATGGACCATACAAATGAGATTTCCACACAGCATTTAAGGCAAAAAATCACAATCAGATCAAACACACCCTCAGATGTTCAACGCTGAGAGGAAAAAGGGACTTATCCCAGAATTTTTCAGCCATTTTGGGGAGGTTTAAGGGAAAATTTTAGACATTTCAGTAGCCTGAGTGTGATGGCAGCAGGGGGGTTGCCTGAAGTTGTTCTTATCAGGAATCTTCCCTTAGCAAAGACAAACTCGGCTCAGCAACCACGCAGCCACCTCTGGGCTCTGCTTGCTCCTGCTGTAAATTACCTCATCCATTTGTCATATTTTTAGCACTTTTTGGGCTGGGCTGCAAGATCTGCAAGAGCTGCATTTTAACCTTTGCTAGAGACTACTCAAGGGCAGAAGTGGTTTATGAGCCCTCGCTGTGTAAAAAAATGTCAGTATTAAATTTCTGCAGCTCAAACCATGGAGCTATTTACTGAAGCTTTATACAAACTAATTAAATATAAGGCTCTTGTGGGACACGAGGAGAAAGAAAAGGAGAATTAAGAGATAAATCACTGGCTTTTCTTTCCTCAGCAAGTGTACACTCCAATTTAATATATTAAACCAAAAAACACCCTGACAGCGCTTGCTCGGGCACAGAGAGGCAGCATCCCAATCTCACACGGAACACACAGCACAGCATAAATTAATTATCTCTGCCTCACCACAACTTGCACAAAGGAATTGGGAGAGACAATCCAGACAAGGGGACGAGCTTGAGATATCAAAGGCTCCATATGGAATCTCACTTTGCAGCTTCCCAGGGCTCCCAGGCTTTGTGAGCACACGGCAGGGCGAGCTATCAAAGCAGCTTCCCTCCCCTGCCCACCCCAGGTTGTCCTGGCAGGAGAATTCCTTGACATGGATTCATGCTGGAGTTTCCTCAAAAAGAAGCTTGAGATCATTTTTCCCTGGAGATTCCAAGGAGTCTCTCCAGGAGCAGAGAGGACAAACCATGGAAGCGACGGAGAAAGGCTCGAGGTGGGCGCAGGGGATGGGGAAAATCTGGGCACCTCAGTGGGTTAATTCCCTTCTGCAGAAAGCTCAGCTTGGAGCTGAACCTCCAGATGTTGGAGGCCCAGCACATCCTCTGGTGGTCAGTTATAGGGGCAGAGCAAGAACTCAAGGCTGTGTCCAGCCTGGTTCCAGATGGACCCACTGGAGTGGCCAGGTCAGCAGGGAGGAAGCCCCAGCTCCCTGCACACCCCCTGATTGCTGTACGGTAACTTTGCTTAAAAAATCTTCAACTTCAGGGATTCATTTCATTCAAATGTTTATCTCCCCATGGGAAGGGCCACCTCCAACCCAAAAGATGCTGTTGGGAGACATCAAACACCTAAAGCTCACGGTGACAGGAGAACAGAAAGTTTCACTCATCCACATCCCATCCCTGGGAGTGTCCAAAGCCAGGCTGGACAGGGCTTGGAGCAGCCTGGGACAGGGGAAGGTGTCCCTGCCCATGAGATGAGCTTTAATAACCTTCCCAACCCAAACCATTCCATGATCCTTTGCCCTGCTGCCCCTTTCTTCAATTAAAAACACCGAGCTCATTCAGCAACAGAAAATCAAAAAATTTTGCATCGCGATGATCTATTAATCAAGCCATTCTTTAAATAGTTTCTGATTAACCACTTAAGGCTATTAAATTTTTAAACAAAGCTCCATCATTCCATTAGCAATCATTTAAAGTGCTTAAGGAGGTGTTTGTGGATTAAGGGTTTTAAACCAAGCCTCTAAACACGGTTCCCAGCGTGGAGCGAAGCACAAAAAATGCCCTAAGTTTCTAAATGCCAGCAAAAAATATCCGAGTTTTCTCATCAGAGGAGCAGATGCCACCTCACAGTTCGTGTAGCACGCCAACACGTGATTCATCTCACCCCCACAGCCACAGGAAAGAGATTTCAAACAGAGTTAACACCATTTCCACGCTGTTTCCACCAAAACCTCTCCCTAAGAACCTTGGCGTGTCTGGTGATGAGGCACCGCCACACTTGTGGATTTCAATGGGTTTAGCAGCACCTCATCTTGTGATGGAGAGAGCTGCACATCCCTGGAATCAGAGCTGAGAGATTCCCCAAGGAGTCACAGCAGTGTCCAGCTCAGAGCTGAGGATTCTGCGGGATGGTTTGTGGGGTTTTAAAAGGAGCAAAGCCTCCCCCCGGAGCTGGTACCCAAAGATAACGATGCCCACTGTGGAGGCAGGTCCTGAGAGGTCAGTGCTGGGTGGAAAAGGGGAGCTCCTCTCTGAAATAAAGTGGGGAATGTGTGCCAGGGCTGTCCTGGCCATTTCTGAGCTGTCTGGCCCCTCTTCACCTCCTAGCCAAGGAGATGGAGCAGCGCCTCCATCCCCATTCCCGCGCTGGGAGAGCCAAACTGGGACAGGGACGGGCTGAGCATCCCCAGGCCAACTCATCGCTGCCCTCCCCACTAATTCAGGAAGGAAACCTCCTTCTCCCAGCTCCTCCTGATCCCCTCACACGCTTCCTGCCTCCTTAAGCTCCGTATCTGAGCGAGCAATGTTGTACAAGGCCAAAAAAGCAATAAAAAAATCCGTGTGCCGCTATCACAACCCACTTTTGGGAGCACATTCCAGGATTAATTGACAGCCCCAGAGATGAGCTGAGTCCTGGCAGCAAGAGTCTTCCCATTTTCTTCCTCTCTAATCTGAAAAAGGAAGGATTTCTAATTCATGCGAGAGGTGAGAGGATGCGCTTTGCTAATTCTAAAGCCTCGTTTCTGTGTTATTGCCAAATATTGTGACTGCGAGCTCGCATCTTTCATGCACATTTTGATGGGGTAAATAATGAAAGAACCTGCAAGCCTCTAATTTTACACTGACTGCAATTCCCAGTTCCAAAGACAGCTCGAAAACAGGAATAGAAACTAAACCAGTAAAAGAGAAACACGCCCTTCTCCATTTCTAACTTTAAGAACCTGGATATTAAAAAAATAATAATAAATAAGTAATCAAAATAAACTCTTAACACAGCTTCATATTTGTTCAAATGAGCATTTTTTCAACAAAAGTACCCAAAACTTCTTCTAGGTGCAGGGCACTGGGGTCAGGGTACCTTGTAGGACAAAGTGTTTTAATGATTTACAACCAACAAGCAGAGTCCCCCCCCCTCCCCAGCAGGAAAAATAACCTAGCACCTAATTGCAAAACAATATCTTAATTGTCAGTTTTAATCTAGGTTTCCTACTCAGATTTAAATCTGGCTGCTTTTTTTTTTTTTTCAAATTGCATTGATTTAACTCGATCAACCCTGCCCGAAGGCCATCTTTCCTGCATGCTCTGAGCATACCAAGCAAGTTTTAACCAATTAGATAAATCACTGAATCTCAAAACTTCCTAACAGCCATGTATCAAGCCATGCACAAGCCCTAATTATGCTTTTAAATACGTTTTATCCTAAAAACTTGGCAAAAATAAGCAGCTCAGGGGGGGGGTATTTCACCAACCTTTTTCTTTTTATTTTTTTTTTATTATATATTTTTTTCCAACCTAGGGCACATGATGGCCTGAAACCCAGCCAGCTGAATTCTGCAGGAGCCTTGCAGGGTCACTGCAAACCCCACTGTTTAAATGTGTTTATTATTCCCTGTGATGGTGGGAATAAAGCTGCTGCAGGAGTTTTTATTCATTTCTGAGTGTGTGCATTTCTCTGTGTGTGTGTTATCACAGACTCACCAAGCAAAAAAAATCCTGAATAATGGAAGTTTCTAGCACAAATAGCTTTCCCAAGGAGCCTGGAGCACAGTCCCCCATCAGCAGCAGTGGAAATATGCTCCTCTGACACTGCACAGATTGTTCAAAGATTCCCATGACAGGAGGAGGATTAAAAAGCAATTCCCTGCCTCTCATATTTCACATGCAAAGCCGTCTCTCGGAACGGCAGGCAGGAAAAAGATGAACTCAAAAATGGGAGTATTCCATATAAAAAATAAAAAAATTGGTACTGTGGTACCTTAAAAACGGCACCACCAAAGCAGGAATTACCCCATAGGGACAGACACAGCACTGCAAACCCGACCCAGCTTTGTATTCCCAAAAAAAACCCCTGCAAATTCCAAGCAATCTGCAAATGATTTTCCTCTTCCCCACCCAAACATCCACTGCAAACTCCTACAATCGCCAGGCAGGCTCGCAATGAAGGGATGGAAATAAAACCCTTCCTTACCTTTAACTTGAGTGTCATATTCAGCTATGATCTCCTTATCCTTTTTGAATTTTGCTGGCGACGTCATGTTTTCTTTTCCAAAAAAGCTGAATAACCTCGAAAGGGATCCACCAGAACGTGAGATATAAAAAGGCAATTTTTGCTCCTCTCAGCACGATGCCTTGGCTCTCCGCTCGTCCTTCCCTCCCCCCCCACCCCGCAAATAGGGGGAAAAAAAAAATAAATCAAAAAATCAGTCCATGGAGAGAGGGTGTGAGAGGGAGCACAGCAGCAGGAAAATGCAGATGTTGAGATCAGCGGATGGAAGAGGCAGCAGTTTTGTCTCCCTGCACCAAATCCTTGAGCAGCAGCATCAGCCTAGCGAGATCCTGCAGCCCCCAAAGGCTCTTCCTGATCCTCAATAGCACAGCCAGGGAGTGGAAGTCCTTCCGCACATGTTTTGTGTGGGTTTGGTTTGCCCTTTTTTTTTATTTTTTTTTCCTTTTTTATTTTTTTTTCCTTTTTTATTTTTTTTTCTATTTCTCTTCTCTTATTTATTTCTTTTAATGCGATCAGAGATGNATCCCAGCAGCAGGCACTAAAAATAAGGAGAATGTCTGTGCAGCACAGGGAATCCTCTGATTGCTCTGGCACAGCCCCTCTTCCTCACACACACCCCAAAAATCCATCCCCCAGGAACAAAGAAAGGAGCCCACAAATGGTTTGTTGTGCTTGTTCTACCCCAAAAAATACATTTAACAGTCGCAAACTTCCTCCTGTTTAAATTAAAAATCTTCCCAAGGCTCAGGCTGGGCGAGGGCTGGCTCCAGCACCCAGGGTTCCTCACAGATGAAGGGAAGTGGCAACACAATCCCAGTACAGGAGGTGGCAAAATGAGCACCCTTCACATTCTTACCTGGCCTCTCTTCTTGGCAGCTTGAAACATTTCGAGATTTTAAAATATAAATTCGACATCCAGGACTGGCAAACCGCTATCTCTGCCAGCACTGAAGTTCACACGAGCCTTCCACTCCTAAAAATAAAAACTTCAAGAAAACAGCCATTCAAACTCAATCCCAGCGGAGCAAAAAGAACTTTGGGAGAATCACAAAAAAAAAAATGGAGCTTAAAAATAGCAAACCTGATTGTTTGTGTTGGGAGATTTCAGGGGAGTGTTTATTTCCTTCTTAATCCCCAAAACAGCGGGGATCAGAGAGAGGAAAAAAGGGGATGGGGAAAGGAATCAAAGGAAGGGATAACTGCAGACACATTTCAGCTTCCTGATAATCTGATTCCAGACTGCACAAAGTTCTGACTCATTCCTGGAGTTGTTTTTTGATTGCTTTTTGCAGTTTTATTTGTTTTATTTGAGGGATGAGCTGCATCCCCCCCTGTCCCTGTGTCCAGCTGATGCAGGCTGGACAGACTCATCCAGCATCACCCTGGGATTTGTCCTTCTGTCCCCTCCAAAAAAACCCAAAGAGGAACAACAAAAAATAAATAATAAAAAAATAAAATAGCACGAAGTAAAAGAGCTGTGCAGTTATCTCCTCTGTCCAAGTAATTTTTCTTGAAAAGAAGAGGCACATCCTGTCCAGCCACGCAGGCTGCACTGCCAGACACACAAAATAAAAAAAAACCAAGATAGAAAAAAAAGCTCAGTGTTCTCTCAACACGTTTCAAGATGTGTAACTGAATGCCATAAATCTCACCAGAGACCTTGATTTAGGTCATTTCGAGTAATTCGCTACCATTTAATCTCCTCACCTACTTTTGGGCTGCTTGGAACACAATGGCTGAGCAAGATGTGCTGAAAGCCCCAATTCAGGGACCCAGAGAACACAGACTCCCCCAAAAATAAAGATTTGGATCAAGGGCAGGAGGATCCCTGTCCTCAGCCAAGGCAAAAAAACAGCTCCCACAAAGTTCTGACAGCTGAAACAAAGACTGGTTTCAACTGGACACTCTTTCAATGATCAGAAATAATATTATCAAAATGAAAATGGGTTTAATTTTGAAGGAAAACAGCAATTTTTTTTTTGCATGCACGATACACATGCAGTTATACCCACGAATTATTCGATTATTTAGCTTTAAGGTAGGTGAGAAATGACGTTTATAAAGTTTAAAATGTGCTACAGGAAGTTTCAGAATCGGAATTCTCCGGAAGACAACCCTGGTTTTTGGGTTTCTTGGGTTTTTCAGGCATCAAAGATGCAAGAATTCTCAATTATAATTATGATATACAATATATAAACTCCTTCATTTACACTAAGAGGCAAGGGAGACCAAAATCTAAGCAGAGACGTTAAGTGAAATTTAGAATGTGATGCAATAATAAACTAATTAAACAATTAAATTAAATTAATTTAAATTAAACTAATTAAATAATAAACTTCAAGAAATCTTGAATTTCACGATACAGAAGAGCTCTTTAGTGTGTTGAAAAGAACATTGGGTTTGGGCTACTTCAAACAAATCCAGACAAATAAATACTTCATACACTGGTGGATAAAAACACAAAGCCAAAAGTGCTTTTCCCCCACCTCTCTGTAAGAGAAATGAGGAATTGTGCTCTAAAAAAAGCGAATGGGCAGCAAGTTTTGGGGTTATTGCCACAAGCAGGAGCGGTGAGAGTTCGGGGAAATCTCTGCTTTATTAACAAAATCAGATTTTAGAAAGGCACACAGCAAGAAGAAATGGAAAAAAAAAAGGAGGTGGGAATAAAAGGAACCTGTTTTCCTTGTACTTCTCAAGAGCTGGATTTGTCCTATCGCTGTCAAAGACTCCAAATTATTCTGCCAACACAGCACAACCTCCCCACAACACAGCCCAGGCAGGGCTGGCTGGATGCTGATGCCTTTCATTTCAAAAATAATAATAATAATAATAATAACATTAATATTAATAATATTAATATTAATATTAATAGTAATAATAATAATAGTAATAATAATAATAATAATGATAATAATAATGATAATCGACTTACTCTTCCCATCCCTTGCACTTTCCATGCAGGATCTCAAAGCAACCTCCTCCTTGCAAGGAGAGGCATCAATCTTT